ACCAATAGAAGATGGTAGCACTCAGAATAAAACACCTCGTTCAAGAACGAGGGCGGTAACGGCTCAAACGATGTCCTCAAGATCTACAATGAATACCTCTCAGCTTTCAGGTGGGAAACGTAAGAGTACTATTCCAATTGCGTCACGGAAGAAGCAACCAAAAGTTTCCGAAGAATCGTAAATTTTAATCCTTTATGATAACTCAACTCATACCTCTATTAGTGTAGTAAATATTAGTGTTAGTAAATTTATAATGTATTTTTATACACATATACATATTTAAAATAATTCATTATATATATATATAGATAATTAATTTTAGTTAATACATAAAAGAGGTATTATTAAAATTTTTATTTTAGCAAAAAAAACCTGCAAATTCATTTTTTTCAAAAAAAAAAATTTACAATTAATTTCCCAGAATTACTCAATAGAGCCGAAAGAAACAAAAAAAAAAGTGATTCCATGTTATGTAAACGTAAAATAGTAAGTTAACTTTCTGTAGATTATTAATAAAAAAATCAACTTTAGGCCTAAACATAAAAGCAGTGTAATGTTAACTGTTGCTATAGAGTATACAGTATTTTCACTCCTAATAGACCTACCTCTTACAACGCGATGCAGCTTGACTTTCGTGATGAGACGTTCGTTATTTCGTCAAAAAAGTAATGAGTTTGCTCATACAATACAGCAATACGTACACAAATCATTTTTCTAAAAGATATATAGATATTGGTAATTTTATCACTTTTGATACTTCATATATTAATATAATATATTAAAAAATTTTATAAATAATATTTTATTTAACTATTGCTATAGCTTTTGGGATTAAATATATCATAATTTTAAATAATAGAAATAAATTTTTATATTAAATTATTATATAAATCTTCAAAAATCTATAATTTTTGATCCACTGATTCAATTTAGATGATTTAACTACCAAAATAATCCTCTTTATGAGAGGATTCTAATGAAACTAAAATAATCACGTGATCGGCAAAGATTTATATTGTGGGAAATTTTAGATTTATTATTAGAATCCTCTCATCGAGAAGTTTATTTTGGTACAGTAGTTTAATCATCTAAATTGAATTAGTGGATTAAAAGCTATAAACTTTTGAAATTTATGTATTATTTAAAATAGTTTACACAAGAAAATCAGCACTTTATTTAATATTATATCTCATTTTTTTATATAATAATCTTAGATAAAATTTTACAGACCTTTTTGCAATTGTTACATCAAGTTACTTGCATACGTAGTAGCACAAAGCAACACTTAATTAAGAGTAGGGTGAATGTAGATCATTTCTTATATAAGTAAATCAACCAAAAAAATATTACACAAAAATCAAACACATGTTACATATAAAAGTTTTTAAAAATATAACCGATTTTTATAAAAGTTTTAGGGTAGATAGATTAGACCCTTCTAATTCTAAT